TTTTTTTCTCTTTTGAACTATATATGAATTATTTTTATCACAGATGCATAAATAAAGCAGTATGAGAAGAAAGAGAGGCACTCTAATAATAATTGGGAAATTTTCTTGTTTTTTAAAATAAAGATACAAAGTATCAACCATTATATCTCTTCTTTCAGGAGATGTTAGAATGATGATTTTATCACTAGTTGGTAGGAAGTTTTTCTGTCTTTCATACTATATATACTTTCTTATTGTCACATTCATAATCATAGTGACATGAGAAAAAGCAGAGAAAGGTCGGTACTAGAAGTGTTTGATGTTTTTATCGACTCATCAGAGAGGCCTTGTAAAATAGTGGTCATTTTTCCTGCCAAACAAATGCTCGAGAAAAAGAGATGATATTATACTTATCAAGCATTTAAAACATGAACAAACAAAATTTTCACCAAACGCTGAGTCTCCAGTAAAAATTTTCTTGTGAAAATTTAAGAATATCTAGAATCTGTTGATAATCGGAGTAATGTAAGGCTACGTAAGTTGGCTAAGTGTTTTAATTTTAACAATAGACTCTCAGTTCTCATTTCGTGGAAAAACAGTAGTGGACATCAGGGAACATTGTGAATGTTTAAAAAACAAATGAAAAAGATAAATAAATTGTCTATTTCGAAATGCCAACTTGATGGGAGAAATAACCACTGTTTTACAAGATTTCTCTGGTAAATCAACGAAAATATTCAAATTTCTTAGTACTAACATTTCTCTTCTTTTGGCTTGCCACTCTGATTATGAATGTGTGATAAAAAGAAAGTATGTGTAGTTTCAAAGACGAAAAAATTTCTACCAGTTGGTAATAAAGTCACCATTTTGACACTAGTTAAAAGAAGAAATGTAGTAATGAATATTTGCGATGTCATTTTGAAATATATGAAAAGTGTGGAATTAATTTTAGTATGCTTCTCTTTCTTCTCATGCCGTTCTGTTTATGAATGTGTTATAAATATAAGTCATCAATAGTTTGAAAAAGGAGAAAATTTCCTATTAATTGATAAAAAAAATTCTTTTCATAACAGTGTCTATGAAGAAATATAAGAATCGATATTTGTACCATTATTTTGGATCATAAATTATATTGGTACTTGTGTGATGATATGAAAAAGAATTAGTGAATATGTAAATGTATTAGTTTAGAATGTCCATATTGTATTTTCTATATATTGAGATCTGTTTATAAACAGAAAAATGTGTTTCTTCTTCTAGATGAACGTATTTTTAGAATAGAATCATGATTTAGTATTTCTACATTAGAAGACAAGTTTACCTTTGTGTCGGAAATAACTGAGAATACGATTGGCGAAAATACCATTATAAGATTCACTAGTATTCAAAATAATGAAAAATTGATTGAAACTATAATTAATAAGGTCGAATCGGTCAAGATAATATTGTGCATGAAATACAATTTATCATTTCGGCTCATAACTCTCTTCATGAACTAAAGCAATCGGTTATGGTGTAAACTTGTTTTTAAATTTCATATATTATCAATTAATGATAAAATACCTGAAATAAAAATGAGTATTGTTGGATCCTGATCAATAACAAACTTAATAAGTAAGTGACAAATTGTGATGGATGATTAATTTTTTTTATCAAGCATTTTTGATATTAGAGACAGAAGCCGATACATTAATGGCTGGCGATTGGTAATGTTTAAGTCTTGTTTGGCTTCGGGCAGCGACGATTTTAATTATTTGACGTTCGGACCGTGATACCTGAAATTTTTCCATATTTTTAAATATTGTCTTAGTTGTGTGAAATCTTGAGATGAAAAAGAGAGTAATATGGTTGTAGGAAACCTGATGATAAGAAGCTAGACAAGAGCATCATCGAAAAACTGATTATAGATATCAAAGTTTAAAAAAACCGATGATGTACTCCAATGTTTCGGTGACAGCGGCTGAAATGTCTGAAAAATTTTGCGATGATCGACTGCAGCGAACCAATTAATTGGTTCACACCTGTTTACTATTAAAATAGTCATGAATTCTTGTAATCAATTCCATTTGATACTTGAGTAACTTATCGAATCACACGAATACATTAGAATGCAATTTTAGAAGAACATTTGTTTTTATGTGTCTAATTTATATATGATGGATGAATTTTAGTGTCTAATTAATTATATTACATGCATAGATCGCTGACTTATTTGTAGTATTTCAAAGAAATTATTTCTATTTAAAAGCCACCTACTTTATCTACAGACATAACTTTAGTCATGTATACTGATACCCGAAAATTTTAAAACATAACTATACAATAATTATTTTTCACTAATAGATATTTTACAATAACGCATTAGAACAATTAATTCAAAACATGATAAACTATATATATTTATTAAGGATTGTTGAATTTGAATTAATGTTCTTTGCTTTTAGATAGAACATATTCTTCCATGAACTATTCAAAAAGCTATGATTTTTCTCATCATATATTTATATCAAGTTGATTAGTATTCCATCATTTATTTTCAAGAATAGTTTAGAAGTTAATTCCACTATCTAGATATTATACATTCCTAATGGCAGACAAAGAAATTAGTAGATGTTTAGTATGTGATGATGTTTCAATGGGTATTAATTTTGGAGTACCAACATGTATGCCATGTAAAGCATTTTTTCGACGAAATGCAGTTAAACTTGGTGTAAGTTAACTTTCGACATAGAAATTTATTTCAAAGTACGAAGTTTTTCTTCTTTAAAGACTCATGAATTTATATGTCCAAATGATGGTGATTGTATGATAACATATAAATATCGTCGTATATGTAATTGTTGTCGTTTGGCAAAATGTTTTCGTGTTGGAATGAAAAAATCATTTATACTTACTGATGAACAACGTGAAGCTCGAAATAAACTTATAGCAATGAATCGTATTAAACGTGGTCAAATAGCTAAACCACAATGTCTTGCATGGGTTTGTATTAAATAAATATTCGACATTGATTATTTTGAATTTATAAGAAGAGCATATGAGAATGAATTCATTTTTTTTTATAAATTGTATAATTTTAACAGATATGTCTTGTCATGAAAAACATGTCATTAAAATCAATATGAATCATTAGACATAAATTGTTAGTAAAAAAAAAAACATAGAATATTTTTTTTTGGAAAAAATGAGTGTTGAGATTGATACTGGAATGTAGGACGTTAAGGTCGAATACGTGCCTTCTCATCAACCAACATAAAACCGAAACTAAAAACCTATATCACTTAATATCAGTTATTTTTTCAATGTGATTTATTTAAATAGAAAACAATTCAAAGTTTGAAATTTTTAAACTCTGCTCATGACAATTTTAAGGAATTTTATATATTCAGGTTTCACTCTTAAGTGAATGTAATTTATAGAGTTAATTAAATATGTGGTTCCACTATTTCTTTTTCAAATGAGTTGCAATTTAGAAAGTTCGTTAGGTTCCACTGTTAGTATGCATGTCACAAGCTTTTTTTTCTTGAGCTGGAGCACATCTCCTTATTGCAGTTGTAATATGTAATCAACATCGATTGACACAGACTACTCTAAGTGCAACAGCGTTTATATACAAAAATAAAAAATATAGAAACTGATGTTCAAATAAAGACTGCTCTGAAATACTAGTGTGAATAAGCGTCTGTCGTTTGAACACACAGCCGCAAAACATATAGAATAGACACTATAAATTATGATAGAATATCTTTTCAATTTCATTTTGATTGCGATTAAAATCCTGTGTAATTAAGCGCAAACCGATGACCCTTACTCGTGAATCATGAGTATTACTTTACCAATGAGAGACAAACCAGTCAACTAGTGCATATATATTGACAATATTTACTTCTCTTTCACAAAACTCATCTTTGATTCAACTCATAATAATAATTTATTTTAAGACTCAGATTAATTTCAAGACCAGTTATTATCATATATGTCAAACTTCGAAGATGAATTCAATTGTATTCTTAACTTTCCAATCAAGCTAGTATCGAAGTAAAGTTACTGAAGTTTGAGTAAGAGCAAAACGAGATTGAAGTGGTATTCATAATGCTCTTTATAATGTTTAAGTTTATGAGAAAAACATTGAGAAACTACATATGGATAATTGAAAGTTGAATTGAACTTAACCTGCAAGTTGGACACTATTCCAATTTCGTGGAATTTATCGACAGGGTAAGTAGTATCTTATTGTCTCCCCTTGCTTACTTTTTGTAGATACTGTACGCATCACTTTTGCTTGTTGACAATGTTTAGAAAATACATCGAGCATGTTTTCTTGTACGCTTTTAGTACTATATTTGATAGTCAAAATGTAGCTTTTTCTTAGACTACTAGATAAACTAATTTGAAATAAATATTTTTTTTTTGTTATTATAAGATGCAATCGCCATCCTTACTTCGTATGCCGTCTCGTTCAATCCAATGTCTTTCTTCATCTGATCAAGTTCGTCTTGTTAATATTTTCAATGCATATGAAAAAACTTGTACGGTTGCAAAAAACACTACTTTAAAAAATTTACCTACTGTACAACACACATCTATACATGAATTTATCAATGAAATGTCTTCCGAATTCCTGATCTCTATCGAATATTTAAAACTTATACCTGAATTTAAAAATCTCATAATGGATGATAAAGTAAGACTCATAAAAAATCACATGGGTACAATCGTTCATATAAATGAACCTCTAATGCTTCCGGTGCCGCCAAGTAATCTCATTGGAACATGGATCAATATTTTCAATTTTGATACAACCAAACTTCTTATGAAACGTCATCAAATTATTCAGCAGTATATCATTGATCCTATTCTATTAAAAATTGTTCTCATTATTCTTGTTCTTTCAAGTAGCAATTGTAGAAATATCAATCATATTGATATGGATCTAATTTGTGATGATCCATTATCTATCTTCCTAGCTCAAAATATTTATGTAGAATTATTATGGAAATATATTTTATCACATTCATTCAATGAACAACATGCAGTGAAATATCTTAATCAATTAATGATGTTTATATTATTTGCACAAAATCTTCATATGGAAATAGATGATTACATAAATCACTTTAAACATGAAATAAAACAAATGGAACCAATGATGCAAAGCTTGTGGCCAGGAACAGATAATGAGAATGATATGAATATCGCTCAAGATGTTATTTCATAGTATTGAAGTGATTGATTATTGTTGAATTCAATGAATAAAACAAGGATTTATATTGAATAAGTTGGGTATTATTCAATTTCAATTGTTTATCACTTTTTGGTTATCAAGAATCTGGTGATATTTAGTTTTCTGATGTTTTTAAGTTTTTGTGCTGTAATTGTTTTTCTTTTTTGGATGATCTGATGATTTTCAAGTTACATTTATATATTAGTATCTATATAATGATCTAAATAATGTATTGGTAAATATGTAATTTTATAAGTTTTTAATGTTCTGTTTTATTCTCTGTATTGGGATATGTTTAAAGAATGAAAAATTTTTTTTTTAGATGAATAAATTTTTAGAATAGAATTATGATTTAGTACTTCTACATGAGGAAACTAGTTTTCTTTTATATCGAAGATATCTAAATATATACACATTATTCAAATTAATATTATCGATAAAATACAATTTATTACATTGATACATGGCTATTTTAATTTACTAAAATGCAATCTGTAATGTTTTAAACTTATTCTTACATTTGGTAGATTATCAATAAATGCTAAAATATGTTAAATAAAAATGAGTTTAATTGGATGATGGTCAGTAACAAACTGAATAAGTGAGGAGTTGTGATGACTGATTATTTTTTTTCCACCGAGTACTTTTGATATTAGAGACGGAAGCCAATACATTAATTGCTGGCGATTGGTAGTGTTTAACTCTTCTTTGGCTTCGGACAGCGACTATTGAAATTATTTAACGTTTGAACAGTGATGACTGACAGTTTTCGATGTTTTTAAAATTTTTTTTAGTTTCGAAATTTGGACATAAAAACGAAGTCCTATGGTTGCAGAGAACGTGGTGGTAAGAAGTTAGACAATAAGATCGTTGGAAGTGAGCCTGAGCGCCGAATATTGTCAAAAATATACAATGTACCTACATGTTCTGGTGGTGGTGGCTTTGTCGATCAGTTTACACTTCTGTGTAGTATGAAATGAGCCATGAATTCTTTCAAGCATATGCATAGAATCTTCAATATCTAAAAAATTGTGTTTCTTTTTCCGTTTCGAGCAATTTTTCGTATCACACAAATACATTGGAGTAGATTTGTTGAATAAAATTTGTTTTTCTTCGTCTACTCTATATATGAACTTGACATTTTCTTGTTTCTTTCTTCATAGGGTTTTTTAATGTTAAAAGTCAGTTAGGTTATTCTTAAAGATCGCCAAGTCTTGATAGGAGACTTAAAAGAGAATAGAAAATGTATGTAACTAAATACTTTATATGTGATGGTTGAGTCAGAAACATTTATTCGTAATATTTGAAAGAGAATACTTTTTATCTAAAATCCGTGATTCTACTTAGGACTATAACTTTAGTCATTCATGTTGTTTTCCACAATTTTTGAAACATGATGATGAATAATTAAAGAAGGAAATGATTTAAATAATTTAGATTATTAGATAAGTCCTTCGTGTTGACAGCAATTTGGCAACAGGTAAAGTTAAAATTTCCGTAAATTTACATTTTTTTGATCTGCATAAATGTTTATATAAATGTATAAGTACATAATCATTTCGTTTCACCAATAGATATTTTACAATATCTATGAGAAGAGTCAATGAAAAACGTGATGAGCTCACGAGGGACCATTCCCAGGTGTTGGAACACTTTTGAATCGGGACTTTGCGCATCTTGTAGGCCTTGATGAATTATGTCTACCGTAAAAAAAAGTTCGTGCCCCTAGCTTGTT